CCCCGGTGACTCACGGGGGGGGGCGGTCCCGTAGCCCCTCCCCAAGGGGGCCCTGCCTCAGTTTCCCCCATCCCTCCCCCCGCCCAAAAAAAAACCGAAAAAAAGGAGGAAACTCCCCCAAAAGTGACCACCGGAAAAAGGGGAACCGCCCCAAAAAACGGGAAACCGCCCTAAAAAGGGAAAAAGCACGCCCCAAAAGGAGAATCCCAAAAATAAGAGGGATCCCCGAAAAAAGGAGGAACTCACAAAATGACCCCCCCAAAAAAAGGGGGAACCCCCCCCCAAAAGCGACCGCAAGAAAATTGGGGCACACCCAAGAAAGGAGATCCCCCCCAAAAAAAAGGAGGAACCGTCAGCAAAAGTGACCCCCCAGGAAAAGGGAACCGCCCCAAGAAGGGGGAACCCCCAAAAAAGGGGGAACCGCCCCAAAAGTGAATTTCCGCAAAGGGTGGGACCCCCCCCAAAAGGGGGTTTGGGGTTAAGACCCCCCCCAAAGTGCGGGACAGGGATGGGGTCCCCCAAAAATGATGCTCAAGATTCCTCCGCGCCAAAATCGGGGTGCGGGATCGGGGTCCCCAAATTTGGGGTCAGGATTGATCCTCCCCAAAACGGGGTTTGGCATAGAGACCCCCCCCCAAAATCGGGGTGCGGGACGGAGCCCCCCCAAAAACGGGCACCGGGATGGGGTTCCCCAGGAGAGGGGCAGGGCAGGGGTGCCCAAAGCGGGATTTAGGGATGCGGTCCCACCTTTTTAGGGTGCAGGAGTGACCCTCCCCCTTCCCGGGACTGGACGGGGGTCCCCCAAAAGGGGATTTAGGGATGAGGTTCCCTGGTTTTGGGGTGCAGGAGTGACCCTCCCCGTTTTCGGGGCCGGGCGAGGGTCCCCCAAAAGGGGATTTAGGGATGGGGTCCCCCCTTTTTGGGGTGCAGGAACGAGCTCTCCCCAGAACAGAGTGACCCTCCCCGTTTTCGGGGCCGGGCGAGGGTCCCCCAAAAGGGGATTTAGGGATGGGGTTCCCCGGTTTTGGGGTGCAGGAACTACCCCGGTTCCGCGGTGCGGCACGCACTCACCGTGCGGGGCTGCGCTCGGTGCCGGTGCCGGTGTCGGTGCCGGTGTCGGTGCGGGCAGTGCCGGGGAGCGGCCCGGCCCGGGATAGGCACGGCGGGGGCGGGCCGGACCGGGGGGCGCGGGGGGGAGGCTCGGGGCGGCCACCGTGACTCACCGGGACCGCCCGGACACCGCCCGGGCACCGCGCCCCGCCCCGGGACTGCATCCCACCCCCAACACCGGCACCGGACCGGGACCCCCGGGACACCCCCGGGACACCCCCGGGACCCTCCGGACCCCCGCCCCGAGGTCCACCGGACACCGGGGACCACCCGGAAAGCGCCGGTAACCCTGGGTAACCCTCCCGTGTCCCCTCCCGTGTCCCCTCCCGGGACACCGGCGACACACCGGACACCGGGGACCCCGCCCAAGACCCCCGGTTCTATTCCGGGACCCCCTCCCGGCTCCCCCTTTTCGTTCCCGAGTGACCCCCCCGGACATGGGGACACCCCCAGACCCCCCCGTTGTGCTCCGTGTCCCCTCCGTGTCCCCTCGGTCCCTCCCGGGGACCCCCCACGGACACCGGGACCCCCCCCCAAACCCGCTGCCCCCCCCCGCAGGGCCCGGCGCCGCGGCGGCGCGTGCCGCGTTAATGACACTAATTACAATTACAATCACTAATTGGGTGTGGGGCCCCGCGGGCAGAGGCAGCGAACGGGGGAGGGGGGGACACACCCAGGTCACCCCCCCCGTGTCCCCTCCCCGCCCTGGCGCTGCCTCAGTTTCCCCCGAAGCCAGGCAGGGGCAAAGGTGAAGGTTGGGGGGGGGAGAGGGGGGACACGCTCGGGCAATGGGGGCACAGGGGGTGGCACCGACCCCTCCCCCATTGTCGCCTCCCTGTCGCCAGCGTGTCCCCCCCGCCCTCAGCGGGGACTCCTCCCTTGTCCCCACAGCGCCACCTTGTCCCGCATTGTCCTCGCTGGCCCTCCCATTGTGTTCGCCCCCCTCGTCCCCACATTGTCCCCACACTGTCCCCACATTGTCCCCACACTGTCCCCACACTGTCCCCACACTGTCCCCACACTGTCCCCACACTGTCCCCACACTGTCCCACTCATCCCCACGCCCCTCCCCCCCGCGCAGCCCCCCCCAAAC